AAAAAAAAAAAAAGAACAGGACGGGGGAGTTACAGTTTTTTTCACTTGTTAGCTTTGAATGATATTTGAATAGAACTTGAAGTCTTCATCCACGTGGGACCGCATTGCATTTTCCAAGGAACGTTTCTTGAGGTGTAGTTCCTTGTGCAATCGTTTCCTTTTTCCCACTTGCGTAAGCATAACTCTTACCTTCCTCATGATTTGTCAGGTTCGTTTGTACCAGTGCGCTAAAAACTATAGTTTTGATTAAAATTCGTTTTTGATGATTTTGAGCTATCGTTTGACTGAACTTATCCATCATATTATCAGACTAATTTAGTTGTCAGTGGCTGCAACTAGTAATGATATAACACTCAAGTGAAAGAAGCATTTCTTCTGCCTACCGAGAACTCGAATTCTGCAACCGATTAACTAAAAGCCCTTCGTAACGTTCCAGAATCAAGAAGAATGCTTTATCGCCGTTGACGAGGACTGGAGGCATATATATAAGAAATTGAGTTGTGTTACAGTAATCGTACACGCTATTCGCCTATCCGTGCTTGTATCGTTCGTGGCTACCAACACTGAATGCCAGTTGTGTTTTATGATGAAGAAATATGTGGCTTGATGCAATCAACAGGCTATCATCTGAAGCCTCACTACACCGTAATTTTTATATGTCGGTTATATCAGGAAACCCGTTAAGCAATGGTGGCATCGATACATAGCGTTCTTAACGTTTATGATCAATGCGGAGAAGAGAGGAGCGCGCAGAGCCGCTGTAGCTCAGTCGGTTAGAGCGTGGGTCTAATAAGCCCAAGGTCGTAGGTTCGACCCCTGCCAGCGGCACAAGTTTTTCACCTGCTTGGAGTAAAGATCTCTTATAACCGACACTGTTTTATCAGAGTCAAAGTTCGACAGCTCCTCTGGAACTTTGAGCAGTCTGGTTTACTCGAAGTTGCGTAATTTTCAGTCAACTATTACCGATGTCTATAGACTGCAAATGATTTCTTATGAAGTTCCCATCGCAAAATTTGTATTCGGAACGAAACACGAAGTGATTTAAAAAAACTATAGTGATCTACCAGTGAATGCAACTTGAGCAAGATGTATTGAAGTTTCAAAAGGACGTGCAATTCAAATTGACTTTTGAGCCCAAAAAAGGTTTTAAAGATGATCTTTATGAAGCGACACTTTTTTACGATGGCACCGCATTAATTGAAAAAAAAACCCAAGTGAGTTGCCGATGTTTCTTGTAGCGCAAAGACTCATCAGCCACTGGTACAGCAATGCTTTTTTTTTCTAGCAGATTTACTGATCTAAGTACACTGCCGTAAAAATGAAAACTGGATCTCTATCATTAGATTATTTGTTGCGAGCAAAATACTGGTTCGGATGAGCTACAGTTTATTCTGAACAGTGATACTATTGCTCTCTTTTTTACATAATAAAAGTGGTTGATAAAGAGAATTTTGACCTAATTTATCGGTGTAGTTGTTCAATAAACCACCTACTGTCACATAGTGTAAATAATGTTCAGAAAATATGACGTTACTTCCTGAATGGAAGTAAATGTGTTGGCAACGCTATAAAATTGGTACATTGTAATACCTAATGGATAGCACCTATTATTTTGGTGATTTGAGGTCCTTGGAAAGCTAAAACCCTATGTTGGCAAAGTTCCATCGTGGTGAAGCTGTGGAATACATATCTGCCGTAGCCTTATGTTTTTCTTGAGAGTTTCTCAGTTTCCGCATTTTCGGTTTTGTCCTTTCTTCCTCATGTTCCACTTATTTAATTTTCTGTCCTTGGCTTATCACTTATAAACCGATTTTTGCAGTACTTTAGATGCCTTCATAAATCTGAAGTTGAGAAGATCAAAATATTTTGGTTGCTCAGAGGAATGTTCATGTTTTTTAGACTGGATAATGAACAAAGACTGTATAAGAAGTATATGTGTTTTATCTTCTGGTTTTTAGTTATCGTGCTGGGTTTAACGATAGCACTTCAGATGTTGTTTTTTCTTAAAAATTGTCAATATACGCAATAAATTGCTCATTTACATGTAGCACCATGACGGAATTACCGTGGGGCTCGCTCAGGATAGTTTCAACCACAACAACTGACTACACTATGGCACCTAACAAATATTCAGTCAAACTACTTCTGCAGGAGCTATTTGCAGTGTTGGAAAGGAAACTAAGAGCTGCTTTTGAAGAGGAGAATCAGGTTTACTTTACTGAAGTTTTTACTGGTTTAAGTTTTTTTAAAAGTAGTTTGCTGCAAAGTTCTTTTTGAATGGATATCCTCTTTTTCTTGTATTTTCTTTATTTTGGACGTTTTGATGCTTAGAAACATACTTTTTGTTATATTTGAACAAGTAGAGACATATTTTTGTGAGCATTTATTTTGAATACCTTCAATTTAAAGGAAAAGAATTTGAACAAGACTTTACAACTGTCAGATGACGTTTATTTTGAAAACTTGCTTCATACTTTGCATGGTATTTGTGAATATCGGCTTCCTACTGTCCTCAAAGCTATGATTCGGTGGTATGAGAAACAGACGGATACGCAATTAGATGAATCAAGGTTTTTTTCCCGTCGAAAGGCATTTTTTCTTGTTTCCAGCTTTCTTTTATCATTGACTTTTTAAATTTTAGAAGGAATATTTATTTCTCTGACTATTCGAAGTTAAGTTTTTCTTCAGTGAAAAAAGAAACTGCTGGGAGAAACGTTCACTTGCAGTAAATATTCTTTTTTGTGTCGTACTAATCGAGATATTACCTCAAGTCCACTTTTTTCCCGATTCTTGCGAACAGCTCATAACCCGCATTGTGAATTTGGCTTTCAAAGAAATCGTCTATCGTGACCAGTCAGTAACTTAGTACTTTAGTTCGTTCTACTTTTGTGACTGCTTGAGACAGTAAAACTAGTTCTTCTCTTCAAGAATTTTGCACCTGTTTTATAATGAAAAATTTGCTTTTTAGGGCATCTGTAGGTGCAAATTATAACAGCTTTCTCACTGTTACTGAAAAGTATGCAGAGGTGCTAGGCGTTCTTTCTCACTCACATGCTCGTTTGATTCAGAGGACTTTTTTAAATCTCTTAAGTGACTTGAAGAAGGAGAACCCTGTCAACCTTTATCCTGTCAATAACATTATTGCACTCCTGATGGCAATGAAGTTTTTTCGTGTCAAGGTCTCTGCTTTCTTTCAAAATTTTTTTTATGGATTTGCTTTCAGCTCTATATTTCTTTTACAGACTAACCAAGTGGCAGATTTCGAGATGGATATTCAGTTTTTGGACGAACTGGGGCAGTATTATTTAGATGTAAAGCACAAAGATATTAAGCACGCTACTGCCGGTTTATTAGTTGAAATCCTCTTACCTGTGGCAGCGGTTAGTCATTCGATTAGTGCGCTCGGTATTTGCCGCAGCATCGTATAAGCTTAAATATTTAATGTAGTAAAAGTTTTAATTTCTTGTCTTGTTTACATATTGTTTCTCACTGGAGTTTTTATTTGATGTGAAAATATTTTGGATTTAGCAAATCAAAACAGAGGCCAATATACCTGCACTGATTGCGTTCGTCGACAAACTTTACCAGCCAACGTTTGAATTAGTCAGCAAAAAGCGAGATAAAATGGTATATTTGTTTCCTGTCCTTTGTATTTTGAAGATGAAAGATTATTAAGTATAAGTTGACAGGAATTCGTTAAAAAACAGTTTTTTTTGTAGAAAATGACATTAAGTACAAAAGTCTTGAGAAAAATTTTTTTAGGCTGCATATCCGCTTCTTACTTGTCTTCTTTGCATTAGCCAAAGCAAGTTTTTTCTGGCAAACTGGACACAGTTTTTAAATTTTACTCTTGCTAGTCTTAAGAGCAAAGACGCGAAGGTATCTCGAGTTGCATTAGAGTCTTTATACCGCTTACTGTGGTAAGTTTTAGATATTCTGTGAAGAGCCTTTAATTTTAATTTCAGCAAATTTTCTACTGGTGTTTAGAACAATTTTTAGGGTGTACATTATTCGCAACAATTGCGAAGGAAACACTGCGACAAGAAGTCGTCTTGAATCAATTTGTGGTTCTTTATTTCCTAAAGGCAATCGGGCAATTATTCCTCGTGATGCACCGTTGAACATATTTGTTAAAATAATTCATTTTATTGCTCAGCAAAAACTGGATTTTGCTTTTAAGGTTATACTTTCTTCAACTTTTTTCGTTATTTTTAATGAAGCCTAACCACTGCGCCAAAATTCTGTTTGTGAGAGAGTTCAGAATTTTTGTGCCTAAACAGAAAGCTTTTTTGCGGATTTGAACGTTAGAACTTTTAGGAAATTATTTTTGATCTACTTGGATGCAATCGTGCACACAGTGTCCTTAAGACGTCTATCTATCCTGAAAGAATGAATATTGGAATTCGAGCCTTAATGGTTATTGCTAATGGTTTGCAGCAAAAAGAGGGTCCCCCAGATATGCCTCGTTCAATGGGTATTTTTGAAGAAATATTTCATTAACGTGGTTTTTCCATAAACATGATAGGAATTTGGCCAATAAAGTTTTTATTTTTATTAAGCTTAAATTATAGGATTTTTGTGTGAATTATGCAAAAGTTAAAACTTTGTTTGGCTACCTATCTCCTCCCGATCTCATTTGATCCAAAATGGCACAGTTATATCCACGATGATAACTGAAAACAAGAAAATGAAACACACACACTTCTTATTGTAGTTAGCACTTTAGCCACGAATTCAACACAGCGGCTCAAAAAGACTTATATTTCAAGACCGCTGACAGCTGATGTTGCTCGTTCGATTGGCTTGGAACAGTACTACGCTCCATGTCGCAAAGCATTTGATTCAATCTTGAGGGCTCTGGATACACAAGTATATTTTACCAATTGGTGGTAGTTATTTATTCAGGGACTGATTGTTTATAAAATTGTGATTTCTAGGTTGGAAAGCCCTTGATGTTAACGGTTGCACAGTCAAGAGGAAAGGAACCGGAGGAACTTCTCTCGTATGAAATTTTTTATTTTTATTATTTTCGTTTGATATCGTTGTGTTTAAATCGAAAATGTTTAGAGGCGACATAAAACCGAAATTAGATCTTTTCCGCACATGCATCGCAGCGATACCTCGTTTGTTGCCTGATTCTATGAGTCACACTGTAAAGTTTTTTACAATTTTCTAGAAGTATTTGGGGATTATAAGGCGTTATTGGTCTTTTCAAACTTCAAGGCTAGTATTTTTTCAAATCTTACTTGGGGAGAACTTTGTTAGTTTTTAGGATCTTGTAGAGCTTCTTATTCGAATGAGCGTACACGTCGACGAAGAGTTACGCATGCATGCTGCTCAAACTTTGCAAACTTTAATGACTGAGTTTTCAGAATGGCGAGAGGATATTATTCATACAGTACTAAATTTTTTCACCAGTCAGATCATGGTTTGTTTCAAGCATAATTAACATTTTGCTTTTATACTTCTTGTCTAGCTGGTTATTTATTATGAATACATTTTAAGTCACTTCAACAGTGGATGGTGTGAAATTTATAGGATACTTTCCCGAATCTTCTTGATATGTCTTTACGTTTATTGTACCAATTGGTCTATTCGTGGAAGACTGCTGCTAATATGGAACGTAAGAAGGAAATCAGTGAAAATCCCGAAAAGGAAAATGGAGATTCTGTTTATATAAAGTAGTCTTTTATTCTGCACTCAAGTGATATTGTGTTTGGGGAAGCGAAGGGAAACTTTATGTGCAGGTTATTTAAGAATGACAATGAGAATTTGTGTCTTTTAGAATGCAAATATCGCCACTGGTGAGTAATTCAATGGCATTGGCTCTGCACTCTATTGAAGGTTTTGCATTAGCAATGATGTGTCAGAATAGGACGCAGTCGAGAAAACTGGCGATAAGCATCCTTAAAGAGGTAGAAATACTTTTTATCCTTCAAATTTTCCGGTTTTGCTACTATAACCGTGGTTCGGTTAACTTTTTATTAAGGTGAAACAACTTTTAATTCTTGTTGCGCCCCATCAACATGATACTCCTGTGATTGAAGTGTTGGACAGTGCCACACCATATGTCATTTCTAAATACATTGAACATGTGCCGATTTCAGAAAGGGTTATTTTCACACTTTTTTGTTAGAGAATGTTTTACCTATTCGTTTAATCTTTTGGGTAGCTTGGCTATTTTTAGCAATTTTGGAATCAGGACTTTTCATCAGCATCAGATAAGATCGCTTCTATCGAAACTGATTTTTGTTTGGTATGATCTTTTATGCTTTTTTCAGTAAATATCCACATTTACTAGTGATTTGGTGCATTTGTAGTTGTGTTTTAGGTAAACAGTGATAGAGGTAACGAATATTTCCAATGGGATCCGTGGGCGTGTGCGCTTTCTGGCTACTGTGAGCACCGGTTTTTAATATTGCAGTGCCCAACTGCTGTGTATTATGCCTGGCCAGTTCTAAGTGTCAGACTTAATGCATGTAACGCCTTCGTTGACCCCAGGTTTAGTTAAACAACTCAGATAACGGGTATTTTCTCTTATTCTTTCGTTACGCAGTGTCCTTCTTCTCGAATGCGAGAGAATTTTATAGCAACCCCCAAAATGAAAATCGGGCGTCCTTATTACGAAGCTCGAAGAGTAAAGGAACTTCCTTGGTTTCCGGTGAATCGCTTGGTCAGGACAGCTATCTTCCCTTATGGCAGAAGTACTTAGTGATGGCCTGTGCGCTTGCACCACCTCCTCCTAACTCTGCCAATTCGTTGTCAAGAAGTTTCTCTCCGTCTAACTCGTATGCTTTTTCAAGTGTTTTTATGACGTTATTCTTTGTGTGGCTAGAGTATTAGGATCTTTTTTTTTAGTAAGCTTGCTGAAATATGCTTATTTAGTGTTGAAACAGATGTTTTCCGGTCGTTAACATCCTCAGTTCGTGGTGCCCCAAGGACATCGACTTCATCAACCACCAATTTTTACCAAAAAGTGGTTTCGATGCTTAAATGGGAACAAATAGACATGAGGGACAGCATTGTTTTAGGCGTTGGGTCAACAAACCCTCTAGCTTTTGAGTTCGTTCTAATAATGGCGTAGCAGCAAAGCTTTATTTGTTCAAATTATTTAGATTCCGCTTTTAATGTTTTACGTTTTGGTCTGATCTTTTGTAGAAGCCTTTTGGATGAAATGAAGAACATTCTCCGGGAAGCAACAGACAGGAAAGCGGACAGCAATGCTCGTCGGAAGCGGCGTAAAGACTTGTTGCGTTTACAAATTATCAGATTATTGCAGGTGACCAGATTTTTTTTTCATATGAAAGAATTTTTTGAGGCGTATTTGCTGCAAAAAATCTGCAATTTTTGGTTAAATAAACGAACGGATTTAGACCCATATCATTGTAATTATTTGCAACTAAAACTCTCATTTAAGGTGGCCACATTTCGCGAAGTTCTTCCTTGCTGCGGATGCATAGAGCTTGAAGGAGGTCTTTGTTCTGCGCTCACTGAATTCATAGATGCTGTTCGCCAAAGCCTTGAAGCAGATCAAGTTAGTTTCATTTTTCCAGCCTTACAGTTAAACTTATTGTGGAAATGACTTTCCACATTTATAATAATATTGTTTTTCTTAGTAATTTATAATTTTCTAGCCCAATTAGTGAGTTTACAATAAAATTACATTTTATTAAGAATTAGATGTTAAAAGAAATAAAATTAGAAGTTTGTTATATACTTTCACTCCACCGTAACCTGTTTTATCGATGTGTTTTTTTTTTTGTTTGGTCGCTTCTATGTAATAGATTTACAGGATCGAGATGTGACTATATTGACTAGCCTGCGGCTACATTTTGCTAAAACTATTGCACTCATAATCAACAGCATTCCAAGTGGGTTCCCGTAACATAACAGGCTTAAATATTCATGAATATTATTTAAAATTAACAACTGTTTTTTATAAAAGATAGTAATAGTAGCTCTTATTTTTTTTTTACTACTGTATACTGCAGTTGAATTGTATTTTTCAGTTGAGAGACGTAATAATCTTTTTACGGATGATAAAAAACAGAGCTTATTTTACCTATTCACTTCTTGGTGCAGCAGGAGTATTGCCAACAATGACAAAAGGTCGGTAGTTTTTTAGCTGTCTTAATTATTGTATATTGGATTTCCTAAATCTAAAACGTGGAGATTTAGACGTGAAGGTGACGTCGGAACTTACGTAGAGCAAAGAGCGATTGAAGCAATGTGTGCACTCCTCTGTTGTGGACCAATTTTTGAAAGGATAAAAGCACTAGGGGATGGCGGTTATTTGTATGGTTGGCTTGAAACCCTACTTGACTCCACAAACCCTGTTGTAAGCCCGCTACAGCTTTGTTTTGATATTCTTTATACAACTTTTTCAACGGCTTTTTTCAGGTTGAAAAACTGATTGAGCCGACTTTAAGCACAATGCTGGATTTAAATGACGAAACTGCCCAGCTATTAGACTGGACTATTAATGTTTGTTATTCAAAACCAGCGCCTATTGCAGCAAAGTGTTTTCACTCTTTAGTCACTTTGTTTTCGAAAAGGTAGTTATATGGACTTTTGTTTTAAATAAGGATTACGTTTTGAATTTGGTTGTATTCACTAAAAACGATAATTTAGGGAATATCCATGTGAATTCGATTCTTTGTTTGTTTTGTGTCAAATGTTAGCAGCGGATGTTGACACGAGCATTGCTTTCCCAGCCTTGGAGCTGCTTCATTTATTGCGCAGACAGTTCTTAGACGATACTTTAGCGGTACCACAGGCCCAAGCAGAAATATGTAACTTTTCCACAAATCATGCTGATGTTTGTCGACTTTTGGCTAGGACTTATCCAAAGATAACTATGTCTGTGTTTTCAGGTGAAGTGACAGATTTAAAATCTTTATGGCGGTCTTTCTAGTAACTGTTGTTAATCTCTTTCTGTCTAGTCAAACGCTAACGTTTCTTCCGCTTTTTAGAAGTATGCGCCAGAATAGAAACAGCCCAATTTAGCCGCCGTGTTGCGCTGCTGACAGTGCTTGCCGCTTGGATAAAAAACATTCAGTTGGTCGATTTACATGTAAGGCCTTAACAGTTTGCCGATAAAAATTTGTTCGTTGTCTTCCTTTCGGTTTTCTAATTTTGTTTCAGATCGATAGTAATACTGCTTCTGATGTATCTGATGAGGCAGGATGGGGTTCTGAAGAGGCTACTCAGCTGATTTTGAACAATTTACTTTATATCACAGCAGTTCTTTCTGTAAATCACGCTAGAGAACTGTCTTTTCTATGGAACACTCTTGCTTCATCACATCCTTCAAACCTTCCTATCTTATTGAACTATCTGTTCATAATGGCATCCCTTTCACCTGATACAGTTCTTCCTCACGTAAGTAAAACTTATTCTTTACTTGTGTTTCTTACTTTATCTTTAGAAAAAACTTCTTCGATTAAACTCTTTTGGATTGGGGGCTGTATTAATGACTTTTCCAGACAAAGCGTATTTGCTGTTTTTTGATGGAAACAGCCGGAACTAGGCTGGTTGAAATAATGCTTGATCATTTGAAAAATGTCAGTGAACAGTTCAATGTAAACATTGAGAGGTGCGAGATGCCTCCATATTACAAGTGGCAAAGTATGACTGATTTTCATGAAAAGGAGAGCGAGCAGGCCTCTGGAAAATATGAAAACGACGATGAAAAGTGTATGAACATGAATGAAAGGAATGCAACTAGTACCCCGAATCTTGTTAAACAGGTTGATCATTTTACATTCTGAGGGAGGTTCAGTTCTTCAATTAAAAACGCAATTGTTGGTACAGATACTTTCCTCCTGCTTCTCCATCTTTGATATTTTTTGTGGTTTTAGTCGACTGTGGAGGAGGAAACTTCTGTTGGCATTCATGAACTTCCAATGCCTGCTTATGGAGGCCATTACTCTTTGCTTTCCTCTCTTCTTCCGCCCACAACACAACCTATA